GAGGCGGGGGCATGAGCAGCTGTCAAGAGAAGTCCTTCTTAGCGCTTGGAAGATTTTCTCTCGCCGGAGTCAGAGTGCGCTACCGACTGTCCGACTCACAATGACTTCCAAGGTGGCTTTCGTGATGAGTCGCTTGTTGATATCACGGACGCCACTGGTATAGGCTTTCCAATCCGAAGGTATGTGAGGAATGGTGTTTGGGCTTGCGATGGAAGGGTGTGTCATTGAGCGTATGGGCTCAGTGTGCTCGCTGGTGCTGCAGACGAGAAAAGGTACCTTGAGCCTGTCGCGCGCGATTGAAAGCAGCGCAGCGTGGACGCGGTCGTGAGCGCATCGCGATGGCAATTGAATGAGGCTGCTGAATCAACTCACATGCCTCGGATCGAGTGCTTAGAAGTCACGCGCCAGTAGTAGCTGACGTAAGACTTCAGCACACCATCAATCAAGGAGAAATTCATGGCGGAGCTTTCTTTGCCTTCAAATGTCGACGGCAGGGGCAAACGGTGATCCCTGTCTTGGTACTGCGTTGGCAAGACCGCGGTGAGCTCCCAGGTCATGCGATTGGCCTGCGTATCCTGAATTCGGGACGCAGCAATGCCCCCCGCTCGGCTAGCGCCCTCGTCTGCGACGCTGATGGAGGTGGCCAAGTGGAGCAAGGGCTGAGTGTGTGTGTGATAGTTGCTACCTCCATTGCCACTAGAAGAGCGGGCCCACGAATGCAGCTTGCCTACGTAGACAAGCGCCGGAACGGGCGGCTGTCAGAGGAACGATTGCTTGAAAGCAAGCCTACGCAATACCCACCGATGATCTCGATATTGAAAGCAGCGGGTTGCGGAGTCGATGCGAACACCTGACTATCGATGGTGAGCCTTGCCTTGACCCGCCGCCCGGGAAAATTCACGCGCTTCTCCACCTCGAGGTCCATTGGAGCGTTGCCACCCTGACCGGGTTTAGAGGCCGTGCTGCGGGAGCGCAGTATGCTGTACTGAGCCTTGTACGCCGATTCAAAGTCCATGGCGCCCACCTGCTGTGTTCCTAGATCAAAGAGCGACATGATGCCTGTGGCTCTGGCCCACTGGACTGCACTGCGTGGTTGACAATTGTGATGGGATGATGACTGTGACGAAAGTGGTGAAGATGACTGCTTGAAGCGGAGTGCGGGAAAGGGGGAGGCGCGAGTCTGTCGACGAGCCGCGGGCAGGCTGCTTGATGGAGCAGCGTCGATCAAGAGTCAGTGC